CTGGGTGCGTTCTCCGGTGCACCACTCCAGGAATCCATGTTCCGTGCCTGAACTCGAAGGTACTTTAGGTTTGGATTTTAGGTTTAGGGCCTATACCTTTTCGGGTTTTGTTTTGTTCAAGATTCCGCGCCCCCACGTTCAGACTTATTTCGTCCGTTTTCCGAGTAGTGGCTGAAGGACGAAACCGCTTTGCTTTGCGTGCAGGAAGGACGAAACCGCTTAGCTTCGCGCTTGCTGGCCTTGTTTTGCTAAATGTTTTGTCTTGCGTTTGGGCTTTCCGAGAAGGAAACCTTCTGGGGACTTATTCCGGAGAAGGATCGGGGTCCAGCTCGGGCTGGGGATGTCAAGGGCACGTGCTTTAAAGCTTCTACGGCTAATTCAATCTTGCATTGCAGTGATGTCACCCCAGCTACACACTAAGAACCCCAAATACAACCTGCTAAGGACCCACTACGTCCCCTGAGTCTCAAACCGGGTCAAGGACACCTCCCCGCTGCTTGACACCCAAACATCAATGCACCGGCCGGCGAAGCTCTGAGTAAGGCTCTTTACAACTAAAAGGGACGTCGCCTTTGGTAAACTCAACTAGAGGGGCCTCAACAGAGCGAATTTCTGCACTCCACAAAACAACCTGCATTGGAGTCTCTAGTTCCCGCGTGCAAGCTACTGAGTTTTGGACATGTCGACTGGACTCCCAACCACCGATCTCAACCCTACCTGAACTCTTCTCATCCACCCTATCCTACCCTCCAGCCCATACCCAGCGGACTGCACCAGCACCCACCTCACCTAAACCCCCAAAGCCAGCAACTTGGTAAGGTCCCAGCTCGATCCTGGCCAGGCATAAGTGGTTTAGGGCTTGGTTCCTTACTTCGGGTCTGCTCGCGTTTGGGAGCGGTCTGCAAATGATCACAAACCAGACTTGTAGTTACAGTAGGCCTGGGATATTATACTGAAAACTAGCCGAAGAGCTTAATATAGTGGGGCTTAATAATCAGCATAGGGTTTTATGGTACATTATACCATAACTGTAACAAGGAACCCCCTCAAGGTAGTATAGGTACTTATTGAGGCCCCTATACTTGGAGGATCATGGGACGTAGTAAGTAGGAGTTATAAGTAATTATACGTATAGTTACCTTAATTATATCCCTAGTTACTAAGTCCTATGATCCGTTAAGTAGTATCCGACAGCAAGGCTTCCTTCCTAAGCAATACATCGGGCGCGTGCTCCTACGAAATCAGACCCGGCGCAGCCCTGCACAGCCGCTATTTGGGGTTTAGGGCTTTAAGGTTGAGGGCTTAGGTTTGAGGGCTTAGGTTTGAGGGTTTAGGGTTGAGGGTTTCGGGTTTGGGGTTGAGGGTTTAGGGTTGAGGGTTTAGGTTTACGGTTGAGGGCTTAGGGATAGCTTACCCAGTAACCCGGAGGAAGCACGGATACCCTGTTCTCCCGGTATTCACTGTTAATCAGGATATCTCAAAGCCCCACAGTAGCAACAACAACTGGGTCGTACTGCCGAAGCTAGTAGGAGTCATAGCCCTCCACATGATGGCGAGTAATTACCGAGCTAATTCGCAAACCGAGGCAAGGTCCCCATCTGGGCAATTTAAAATCCGAAAAGCCGATGTTACTATTACAGTACTGTTTCTGACTACTGGTTTCGTGTTGGCTATTGTTACTAGAATTACTATAGTGATTGTCCCTGAAAACCGAAACCCCACATTTTCCATGGTAAGGCTCAACCCTAAACTTCGGCCCTCACACCTGGAAGCAGAATGCTACGCCCGATCACAACAAACCTTGGGTGTAGGACCATATAGGGCCCGGTAGGTTTCGAGGCGGGGCAAGGAGTTCGGGTAATGCATATAGGGCTTCTTGTAATGCGTAGCAAGCCGCGCAGTTCGTTTAATGTAGGGCTTTGCAATGTGTAACAGTGTAACAAGCAGTGTCAGGCAGTGTAAGGTTCAGGGCTTCAGGGTTTAGGGCTCAAAGTTTGGGTTCTAACAGCTCTAGCAAGCCGCCCGAGTTGCACAACCCCTGACACGACAGGATCCATCTCAAACACGGAAGAAAGAACCGTTGAATCCTCAGCCACAACACCCTCCTGACCCCTAGACCTCTACGTGCTAAGCTCCGGCAGCCGAACTGCCTGAATCCCTCGACCATCAGAGCCTGAACCCACATCTATAGAACCCTGCCCTGATGCTGGGCTCTTGCTCACGAACCTAGTTCAATTCGAACTACCACGATAGGAGTCTATAGTAAGGAAAAGGTTTCGTGATTATGATAGCTTAAAGCCAAGCTCCTTACACTTAAACCCTCATAAGACCCCTTCAGAACCCTTAAAGGAACACCAAACTATGGTACATTACACGTAGTTGTTCAAGAACCCTGCCCTTACGCCACGGACCTGGATCTTCTGCATGCAGATGCATGTTGTTCGACCCAGGTCCTGCACAGTTTCAGGATCTAGGGGTCTGGGGTTTGGGGTTTACAGGGTTCGGAGTCCAAGACCTGTTCTAGGGCATTGAAACTTTGAATTGGTGTTATGCTTTGTTTTGATTTTTGGATAAATTGTATGTGTCCGGGAAATGTTTACTAGTAGATATGCCAACCGACAGTAAACACCAATAAATGGATTGAGGATGATTCCTGCTGGGATTATTAAATCAACCCATGGGGACAAGAATGTTCTAACTTTCAGAAAAGGTCTGAAGACCCCAACATTCGGAATATTGCATGTCGGTCAGAATATGAATATATGCATTAGGTCCTACAGTCTTGGGTTCTCTGAACTCCGGAACCTATAAAATCAGGGTTGAAGTGTCGCTACGTCACCCGTTTTTTGAAGAAAAGCTCCAGAGCAAGACGGCTTCCTCATAAAAGGGATGGTCCAGCGTCAAAATACTTGCGAGATATACTGACATTGGCTGCAGCAACTATTCAGGGATGTCTTAGAGCCTTAGAAAGATTTGAGCATGCTCTCTGATTTGATCCTCTCTGGCCATGAACATCCTTCCTTGGAATCTTCCTACCGTCTCCGACAAGCAAGCGAGAACAAGTCGGTCCTGGCCGCGAACGAACTCAATGACGGCTTGCGCATCCTGAGCCGTTTCCGTTTCCCACTACAGCGCACGCCTTCGTCCTAAGTACCTGCATAGTCACAGTGAGAGTTTCCATGTTCGGAACTGTTTTCTGGTTTGTGTACATATCCCCCATACAGCTACTTAGGATCCCTTGCGCCATAGGGGCCTCCAAGTCCCCTTTAAGAAAACCCTTAAGGAGGGTATTTGGGGTATAATGATAGACCGTAGTTAGGGGGTCTGGGTAGGAATGCCTTGAGTTTATTGTATTTCAAAGTTTAGGATGTTGGGCTTGTAGGGTTTGGGTTGAAGGCTTAGCAAATTTACGCTTGGGATTCAGGGTTTAGGATCCGGGGCTTCAGCTCTACTCCACAATTCAGGGTTTAGGAGTTATATGGCTCCATATGCAGGCGACAACAACGGCAGGTGCAGAATCTAAGGTGCCTTGGACCCTGCACCTGGCAGAAAACAAAAAACAATCACTTACGCCACACAGTTTTGACTGGACCGGAACGGATTCATCATGCCCGAAATTTAAACCGAGACGCAGAAGCAAAGCAGAGAAGGTTCAAGCGTTCGGGCCTAGGGTCTTTAAGGACCAATTTGAGGTTTGTAGTTCGAGTTTGTTGGTTTCGGTGCTTTCGGGAGCAGGCCGGAGAGAGAGAGCAGTGAACCTTCGGGTTTAGGCTAGCAAAACTTCGCTGCCAGAAACCGCAAAAAGGCCAAGTACAAAATCAACACAAACCCGAAAACCCGGCCTCGGTACTCTCCACCACGATGGCGTCTAGCATCCCGCATGCTGTGGACACGGCAATATCCTTCAAGCTTCGGAGATATGAGCTTGACGTTCAGGTAGGGATCAGGTTTTGGGTTGCGGGGGGCTTTCATGATTACTACTAATAAAGTTCCTTTCAGGTTTCTTAAAGTGTTCTTTTCGGGCTACTAATCTACGATGATGTGGCATCTGTTTCTACGAGCATAAACAGGATCGGTACTATGGTATAGTACGGCTCAGGGTTTGGGCGCAGGACTCGTGGCCTGCGTGTTGGGTTTTGAGCAGACACGACAGCGGGCTCGAAAGAAGCCTTTAAAGCTAGAAGTCTCCCGAGTTGAGGTAGCTATTTCTCGAGGTAAGGCTTGAAGGCAATCGCAACAAGGAACCCTCAAAAGGGCAGGTTTGGTAGGGTTCAGGTACGGCTTAGGTTTCAAACTGTTCAGGCTTTCGGATACGTGCAGCCAAGCGGCATACTTCTTGTTGATGCTGCCCAAATCACCGAGGCGGCCATAGACGCCCTTCAGCCGACCCGCCTCCCAGATGTCGGGTCACTTCTTGGCTGAGGAGTTAGGGTTCATTGTGCACAAGTTTTGCCCCAAGCTCCCAACCCTAGATCCAAAATCCCAAACCCGATTTACGAGACTCTAGGCATCCCTTCAACGCAGGGCCTGTCTCAGCTCCACGGCGGGAGGATGGCTGCAAAACGGTGAACCCAAATTGTGGGATCTGTGAGGGAAGGGCTTCCAAAAGGGGAGGTGCGCAACCCACTGATCCCCAAGTTCCCCCCTAGTATCAGTACTGACCGAGGTAGGATCCGAAAACTTGAACAAGGAGAATTCTACTTTCGACTCTGATTCCTCAGCCCTCAACCCCCAAGCCTAAACATGAACCCCTAAACGACGACGATAAAAAGGAGTACTACATGTTCGCGAGTGCCCAACCCTCCTAAGCCCTTGATCCTCAGCCCTAAACACAAAACCCGAAACCCTCAGGCCCAAACCCTAAACATACGGCCCAAAAAGGCACATAAGCAAGCATTAGGAGAGGGATATCCCATATGCCATATATCCCTTCCTTATGACGCAGGGATATCCCTGTAAAAATGCTTATGCTTATGTCCTTTTTTGGGTCCCTACACCCCCTACATGCTGGCTGCCTTCGCCTGCTCGTTGACGGCCTGGATCAGGCGACCACGGAAATGCTCCTGGCGCTGCAAACGGCTTGACCGGTAGAGGATCATGGGATGTAGTAGCGGGTGAAGGGTACCTTCAAGGGATCTATAGGGCTACTATAAGGGTTTAGGGTCTAATTGCAGGTTCATGGGACTTAGTAAGTAAAGTTATAAGTACTCTAATTGGGATTATAAGTACATATATATGTATAGATACCTTAATTTCATTGGAACAGGGTCTTAAAGGGCTAGAATAGCTGTGAAAAGGAAGTGCTTGGAATCAACACTTGAGAGTTAGGTTCAGCAGGAATCGACTTGGATGCACAAAACCCAGGAACCTAGCCCGAAGTCCCAATAAGGATTTGGGGCTGTAGCGGGATTTAGCTGCTGGGCATTATACAGTCTCAGGTTTGGAGACCGACGGCAAATATACACCGCAATGCCCTCCAGCCCAAAACGCAATCCGGTAACCCTGAAGTTAAACTCTCACCAAGCACCGTGGCATTTTTGAACCATATACAGCATATACATCCTGAACATTAATTAAGTCTGCAACATGTACATCACCGCGATCATCGCAAAGCCTGCAAGCCCTAAACTCTAGCAACAGACCAAACCATGATTGCCAACCCTTGCCTCCACCCCAGCCGTAACCCCCTAAACCCTAAACCCCCAAACCGTAACACCTTCCCCAAAGGGATCTCCTGCTCAAACTCGCTTCGCGCTTCGTCGGCTTTCGCGCGAGCCGCTGCGACGTCCTTGGAGACCTGCGGCTATGAGAGGTTTCGAGGACCTCTCCCTAAGGGGCTGTACGGCTAGGGATTCCTGGTTTCGCAGCACTTCAGGCAGGTTCTCACGGACACAAGATGACGGCCGACGTTTGGATAGTGTCAGGAGCTTCAATTCTTGAATATACTTAGGGGCCTTAATGACTAGAATGGGGCGTTGGGGCCATTTAAACTTTACTTATAACAAGGAACCCCAAGAATGGTATTGGTCCTTGTTTAGGCCCCTACATTCGCGTCAGGAGCGTCAATGCTTTATTGAGCCTTTCATTTCATTCTCTCGGAGTTGCGTGCCATGGGCCCGAAAGCAGAAATGACGGCTCCTTTGCAGGATACCGTTCTCTCCAGTGTGCAGGCAGCTTTCCGCTAAAGCGAAGACCTAGCAACGGCCCGGAAGAAGCTGAGGATACTCCGAAGTGCCCTCCCGAATCGGTGATCTGACGCCGATGCATTGCGGATGATTGTTTGGACAGCAAGGCAAGCCCAGCATCGGCACTCAGATGCTCATGCCATCAAATTACACACACCTGTCTGGGTACACAGCTGCTCAAACTGTTCGAACAAAGCCTCGGTCTTGCCAAACGAGCTGAGCATAGCGGAGTACCATGATTGCCCAGATTACCGTATGAAAGATTGCTCTTGAGTGGGGCTCGGGGTACGACAAGCATACCCCTCGCAACACTAATCAGCTTAGTTTATCTAGAAGACTACGTACAGCTAGTTCGACGCTTGCTTACAACAGCTCTTCCAGAAGAATTCTGCAACTGAAAGAACCGCAAGAGAGAGCATGGAGCATGGCAAGAAAAGAAGGATCCGACCCAACGTAATCACTGGTTGGAGGTTGGAAGTTTCTGAGCTCTGCAACCCCAACAGAGGCTCCCACAGTTTAAACCCTAAACCCTGCATCCTTAACTTCAAAATTTAAACCCTGAAACCTTAAGCGCTAAATCATCAAGCCTATAAACCCTCATTTCCAGGGCCGCAGGCCTTCTCGATCTCCGTCGCCAACTTCTTAATGCGGTCCTTCCCTTCTGTCGTCATTTTCCTGCGCTCCTGCAAGGTTTCTAGGGTTCGGGGCTGTCTATTTGTAAAGAAATATTGCTTCAGGGTTTTAGTGGTTAAGTTTCTAGGGTTCACGGCTTGAGTCATTGGGGCTCAGGGTTTAGTGACACAAAGTTCTGTGTTTAGGCAGGGTTTTGAAGTTTACATGGGTTGACCTATACTACAGGTTCCATGTCATTGTTCGTTACCTTGTAGGATCCTAGACATGTGGCCAAACCGAAACAGCAACTCCAAATAACTATATACCCTGTACAGCCCTGACAGGAGAGTGTAGGGGAACAACCCTAAAGCCCCAAACCGATGCCTGAAACACTAAACCCATTCTTTCAAAATACATGGGTAGTTGTCAATGTTATGGCCCCCTTTGGGGTACCCTAAATATTAGGCGCCGTATGATAATAGAGACCCAAGAGGGGACCATAATTTTGTCAACCACCCACATGGTCCTTCAGCATCTTCGTCACGTCCTTTGCTTCCTGAGGGCAGCTAGTCTGGACGCGGACTCCCCAACGACGCTGGAAGGGCTTCTTGAAGGGATGCTTGTTTTGTTCCTTTAAGGGTTCGTTCCTCTGAGGGTCTGTAGTAGAGGATTAATGTTTACACGGATTTTCAGGTTTAGGGTCCGCGGTTTCGGGCTGTTCAGGATTTACGTTTCGGGGATAGGGGTTTGGAGTCCAGGAGTCTATAAGGTCTGGAGACTTGTCGACGGTCCTTATGTCTGCCGATGTCCAGAATTAATGAGGGAAACACAACAATTCTCGTGGCAAGCTGCTCAAAGTGCTATAGGGTTAAGGGCAGGGTTTCCTTCTGGGTTCCGCGTTTGGGATCGGCGGCGAGTGCCTTTCTAAAGTGATGTAGCTGAATCTGTTCCGACCCTCTCTGCTCAGGCCTAAGCCATGCCAGGACCCCCCAAGCAAGTATTCTCCTTTCCGGCTGGCTTTTATTCCTGATTATTCTTCATACTATTATCACGATGCTGTTTTTGTAATTCGCCGTATTGTGGTAGTATTGTTACTTGTATGCTTATACTTAGTCTCGCGAACGTCTATTATCAAACTCTTTGTTCTGCAACACAATTTAGCAAGGCTCTCTATGCAAATAGCCGGAACAAGGATTCGCGGGCGTAGTGCGTAGTACTCCCGCAAAACCCTCAAGCCGAAACCCACAACCTTCAACCCTCAACCCTAAACCCTAAAGCCTAACCCGGCCCACAACCTTCGACCCTCAGGGCGCTTTCCATTCCAGTCCTGCTCGCGCTGTCCGAGCTTTTCCCGGCATTCAGCTCCTTCCTTCTTGAGTTGGTTGATTTGCTCGGTGGCCTCACAGGGAGGGTCTAGGGTTCCAGCGTTTATTAAACTAAACTCTAGCAGTCGATATACCAAACCAGTAGTAGCCAGTAGTATCAAGTAATTATGGGATGTAAGCAATATGTAGACACATCATCTCAGAATGCCCTGGGACTTCAAGAGCTCCGAATGGGGAGTACTCGTGAGTCATGATGGTCGCCATCTGCAACAAGGGAGCATGATGGATATAACAGTCCTCGGAAGTCACCAAGACCCGGGAGTACTATTTGCCACGGATAAGAGTGGGCCAGAAAGAGCCACCGAGACCCAGGAGCACGATTTGTTAGGGATAAGAGTGGGCCAAAGGGACACCCAGCATACTTAAAGGCTCATGGGACTTAGTAAGTAAGGTTTAGAGTACCCTGATTGGGGATAGAAGTAACTATAAGTATAGTTACCTTAATTATAACCCTAGTTACTAAGTCCCATGAGCCTTTAAAGTATTACCGAAGCTCCCAGTCTGAAAACTCGAACGAGCCACGAGGGAATTTCTGTAATTACCTAACAGACTTCACCCAATGCAGAGGCTTTGCGGTAGAATTACTTACTCCGGCAACTGCATCCTCATATTGGTACTTCTGAAAACTAACGGCAAAACATACCTCACTGGATCAGGGATTCAGAACTTAAGCGTGGTGGCTTTTAGGGTGAAGGATTGTAGGGTCGCAACCCCAAACCCCAAGAGCTTGAAGCCCAAACCCCAAACTCCAACGCCGAAAACCGAAACTTTAAATGACAAACCCTAAACTTAAACTCCATACCCTACATTCCTTGCAACAGCTTGCAGGCCTCCACTTGCCGCTTCCGAAGGAAACCTGCCTCGGCCTGCGCCACTTCCACGACCTGCTTCACCTGGCTGCCGAGAGACTCCAAGATCCCTGTAAAGGGATCTAGAAGGGTTCCTTTAAGGGTTCCTAGAACAGATCTATAGGGTTAAGGGTTTAAGGGATTATAATATCCCTTCATTAAGGAATATACCTTAAACCATATTCATCCTACCACAATTTAAGGTATATTCCCCAATTAAGGGATATTGAAGTCTCTGGCTTTTCAATGGCACGCAACAAGGGTAAAGGTTGGCTTAGGGCTAAGGCTGTGCGTAGGGTGTTTCACGTGGCTTTTTCAGAGACCCAAAGCAAAATTTCGGGTGTAGGGTTCGGGGTAAGGGTTTGAAGGCTTAATTAGGGGCTTAACCTCACCTTTTGAAAGGCAACAAAAGGGTTTTCAGAACGAGTTTATAAAGTTTTCCGTAGCTCATGTATATGGATTTAGATACAGCTGAAGGCTTCTGTAGCCAAGGCTTTTACAAAGGTGCCCTTCTTTAAACATCGTAGGTGCCTGCCTGTGCAGGTTCTTTCAGTGTTCTATCAGGGCCTGTGTCTCTGGGCTTGGCAGGCTCATATAGATACAAGAGCTATTTGTTGACAACGTTGGAAATAAGCCACTTCAAGAAATCGACCCCACTTCGCAGTGATGAGTCCAACAGCTTGAGTAAGACTCGCAGCTTAAAGCCCTAAACCCCAAAACCCTAATGTTGATGCAAGGGTACTGCAGGCTCAGCTCTATCCCCAGCTGAATCATCCATGATCGCACAGCGAAGGCTCGCACTCGAATTGGTTTTTCGCGAACAAAGACCTGTTTGGTAAGCTGCAATCTTCCTAAGCTTCGAAATGTCATGCTCTGCATGAAACTGTGCTATGAAGCGTGAATCTGCATGCTGTGGCACTCCGGCCACTGAAGTCCTTGGGCCCTCACGGCCATCTGTCATGCATGCGCTGTGCCTTCCACATGACATGTCACAGCACCTGGCGTGGGAGCTTTCAACACTCCTCCTTGGACGTCTCCAAAGACGGCCACGCTTTCATATCTGTAAAGCCAGGGCATAATAGACATGTCAGTACATTGACCGTCCACTGTGGTTTTGACACAAATTACAGAACATTAACTTCCGGGGTTTATGGACATTGCGCAAGCCCCAGCAGTTGCACACTGTGTGAAAATGATCACCATTTCCTGAAACATACACAGGACCTTCATGCCATTGGGGCACCATCACTTCACGAACTTCGACTTGGCCTCGAGGAGGTGGCAACGGATCCGTTTGAACTCCGACATCCAAACTTCGCCTTGAAAGAGCACTCCTTCCTCGCCGCACCACCGTAGAAGTAGAAGAGCTCGAAGTCGAAGATGGTGCACCCATCCACTCACTGGTCGCACGCTTAGGTGGCGGCGGGTCGGTCGTCTCCATTTCAGCCAACTTGGCAGCCAATTCACGTTGGACCGCCTCTTGTAGTCGACGATGACGCTTCGAAGACCTTGACTCGCCGGGATCGCCACAGCAACGTTCCCATACGTACCAAAAAGCCTCCCACAAGCCAACAAGGGCCATGCCAGCAACAGCGATCGCAGCATACAGCTCAAAGGAACTGTCCAGTGCCAAGGGCTCAATACTCGACGCACGGGCCGTCTGAACCATCATACAAAGCACCATCATACGAACCAAAGCCAGCTTAGAAACTTCTGTGACCAAATCCACAAAACCCCAAATCCCAACCAGCTCTTCAAGTCGCTGACGGGGAAACGATTTCGTGAGTAGGTCGGCCCACTGGTTGGAGCCTGGGACGTAGACAACTGAGACCTGGTCGGTGAGGATCTGCTCATGGATGTAGGCCGCCCGAACTCTTAGGTGGCGGGTGCGCCACGAAGTAGACGAAGAGGGCTTTGCTAGTGTAATCGCAGCCTGATTATCGATGCGAAGAGAAATGTGACCCAAATCTTTATGCATCTCACGCACTACCGCAGCAATGCTTTTGCCAATGACCAAACCTTCTGTGGCTGCCAGCAACTCGCATTCAGCAGTACTCAGGCACACGAACGGCTGACGAGCCGAACGCCAACATATTGGCGCTCCCATCCACACAGCAACCATTCCAGAGTGGCTGCGGGAGCCCTCCGGAGCGAAAGAGCTGTCCGTGTACACGGCGAAGTCAGAAGTGGTTGGCCTCAAACTCAACGCCAGGTGTTTTGTACGCTGAAGGTAGGACCTGAGGCGAGCCGCAATCCTCAAGCATCTGGGCGCTGCCCTGGTCAGCAAAGAACCCATAGCACAAACAACAAAGCTGATGTCCGGTCTGCTTCTCTGGGCAATCCAAAGGAGTTCACCACAAGCCTTTTGAGCTTGCTTCACCTCATCATCACTCCCCCGATCTTCACCCTCAAAGGCCTCAAACGTGACCCATTCCTTCGGAGCCTGGATGGGAGACTGCTCGGTCTGCTCTGTGCCATGATGACGTAAAATCTCCTCGATGTAGGGCCGCTGGTGAAGGTAGATCGCAGAGAACTCCTCATTGGTGGCAATCTCGCAACCCAAAAACCGGATATCATGGTCAAAAGAAAGCAGGTCCAGCTCCGAGGTTTTCCACTTGGCTGAAATCGTCGCCGCGAGGGCCGTGACAAGCCACAACGGGCCAGCCAAGAGGATATCGTCGACGTAGAGCAAAACCAAGCCAGTGGGATCACATTCTGGCGCTCCAACCTCATAAACCATCCATAGGTTTGGCTCTGCCTTGCCCTGCTTCAGGGACCACGTCTTGCCTTCATGCTCGACCTCAACACCGGCAATGTAGTCGTCCCGATACGACGCCCAGAGCTTAGGCGACTGACGTAAACCATACATGCCATGCGTCAACAACCATCTCTCGGTAGGCTGTGCCAACCCCAGCTGGATCAAAGCAGCCGGAGGCCTGATGATGTACACAGTCTCCCGTTCACCGCGCGGCAGCGGTGTGAGCATGAATGCTCCAGAGATGTCAGTGATCCCTGATCGCCAACGGCGGCGTGCGCTGTATGTAAGAGCACACCGAAGACTCTCTGCTGCAGCGCCACCCGCATACAACTCATTCTGGTCTTCGGCGGCGTAATTGCCGCAGCACACTATGCGTGCCTTTCTTTTACAAAGGGCGGATTCGCCCTCCTCCTCAGCCGACTCGGCAGCCGGAGGTTTCACAGTATAAACCAACTTGGAGGGCAGCTCCTGGACAACAAACTTCTTCTTCAGCTCGCTAACCTCAGAGGTAGTCACACGCTCGAATCCTTTTTCAACAACACCAAGCTCCTTTGATATTGCGGGTCGCCACTTTGCTATCACAGCCTTGGCTTCCTGAGGACTCACATTGTAGGTGTGCCTTAGGGGGATCTTGTTGTCAATGGCCGTCTGGATAATGCCTTCAATATCCTCAACGTACTCAGGCTCAAGCTTCGCGACACGAGGAACATCATACAGCCCCAGCGAAGCCCAATACTCAACACTCCTTTCCATATCGGCCTTATACTCAAAGTCCCCTTCACCCTCATTGAAGATCTCCGGGATCAACGTAAGTCCAGGCAACTCAGCACCTGGATCCTCAGAGCTGCAAAGTCGCTTCAAACAAGCTTTCGCGCTGACCTCACCATCGACACCCTCCTCCTCAACAGGCTCCTCAGCATACAAAGCCCAATCCCACATGGTAGCTTCGCAATCTCCCGTGGTAACAGCATCCACCTCACCAACTTCATCATGAGCTCCACCCAACAATGTAGCTGATGGCAAGGAAGCTGCCCTCATCATCGGTCTGGTTTCCAATGAATTACCAACGGAATCATCATCACCTTCATCGTCAACATGAGCCAACGGGAAATTAAGGGCTGCCAGGTACTTCTGGTCGTTCGCATTCAGCTTGTAGGCTCCTTGAGGGGTATATGCAGACAAGAACCATTTCCTGTTTCCCTCAGTCACATAAGCGTGTGGTACATGCGGATCAAACACCGCCGGCTTCTTGGTGACATCAACCAAGCATCCTTCATGAGCCTGCCCATGTTGGTCAACGTACTGATAATCCTTCGCATTGGCACCACCAACCACACGTCGTTCCATTCCTTGGTTTTCAACCCACAAACCGTCCAAGGATCTCGTCTTCAGCTCCAGCACGTAGTTGTAGGTGTTGCGCTCGTTGTGGCTGTCCTTATGTTTGGGTATCTGCTCAGCAGACTGAAGGGCAATGGTAGTCCATGTAGTGTGCAGCCCAGGCCAATGCTTGTCAATCTTGGCTCTCAAATAGCTGTTGAAGTAGCGGGTTACCCATGGGAGGTCACGACCATATCTCGTAACCCCAAACGACCCACCATGAACAAACGCACCGAGGATCATCCCTTGGCCTTCAGGAGCGCGAGGAACCTTCAAGTTTCCACAAGTTCCCGCAAACAGCGCCAGAAGACGAGCACATTCCTTTTCGCTGAAACAATCATTGCGAAACATCTGCTCCGCAACAGTCTCGACGTAATCAATCTCCCCGGCACGGAGGTACTTCACGGATCCATCTGGACAATCATCTTCCACAGAGGAGGGAAGCACGTCCGACAGCACTTCCAATGGTTGATAAAACGTGTCCATCTTGGAGACCATAGGAGCCTTAGCTCTCATCCTTCTTGCCGGTGGCGGTAGAGCGGGTGGTGGTAGAGGAGGTTCTCCATCAGCAGGTCCATCACTCTCCTCAGGCTCGACGAGCACGGTTGGAGCCACATCATCAACGGTAGGTGGATCTCGGGTCACTCGAACATGGGTAGTTTGAATAAAGGTGCCGGAGTCCTTGAGGATAACATGGCCTCCCCGGATGTCAGTGGAAGGGCCCACATAGCGACCCTTGGTCCAATGAGGACCGAAGTCCTCCACTGCTCCAGTCTTGTACCTCTTGGTCTTCACATAGACCTTGGTGCCATAAGCAACAGGCATCACTGGTAGCGAACCGAGACGTTCGGACCGCTGCTGGGCAGCCGCATACTGTATCGCCGTGGGCCAATTCTCCTTGGAGACTCCACCAGCATCAAGCAACACTCGCGCCCGGCGCTTCAAGTAGCGCACACCAGCCTCCGCAACGCCATTGGCAGCTGAGTCGGATCCCGTAGTCGTAGTAGGCCACATCCCTTGAGACAGGGCCCATTTTCTCACCAAGTTGCCACGAAATTCTCCACCTCGGTCTGAATGCAAACGGGTGACTGGATAGCCCAAAGCCTTCACTTCTGTCACAATGCGCTGCACAGCTGGTAGCATGGTGGCAGCCTTCTTGTTGTTGACTGGGACCGCAAAGTACAAAGTCGTGGTAGCAATTGGTTCTTTGAAGGTTGCCAAAAGCTCTTTCCAAGTTTGTTCCTCCTTCTCAACTTCATCCAAGCCCACGCCCGCACCCTCAGGGACCGCATCATCGTCAAGAGGGTCATCGCACTCAATCGTCTCCTCCTCGTCCTCGGCGTCCAACGGCGGGAGAGGGTGACCGCGAACTTCTCCATGGCCCTCAGCACCCTCAACCTCAGGTATCCTGAACGCCCCAATGACAAAGTACTTGAAGAACTTCCCATCAGGTGAACGGCCAAAGCCCTTCAAGGGGCCCACCACATCAACACTCAGGCTGTAAGCCATTGGATGCAAAGTCGAACGGTGCTGATGGCCCGCCGCGCTGTTCCTCACGCACACAGAGCAGTCTCTCCTAAAGGGCTGATGGTTCCTGGCAACATGCAGTCGCCACGCTGCGTCACTACTCATCTTCGCCATTCGAACACAGCGAAGTCCATCATAGTGGTCCACGGAAACATCAAGCATGCCCATCTCCTCAAGGTAGGCTCGCGAGTCCTTACACCGCGTCCATGGAAGCCAAGTAGTGGAAGCAGGCTCCTCCTGGGAAGCTGGAGTAGATGCAGCTCTCCTCAGATCTTCCACATAAAATCTCACTGGACCATCACCATGACATTCTCGAGCAACCGAAGCCAACGCATGTAAGAAGTGAACCTTGCTGCGATGGGGTCCTGCAACAACTTGCTCAGGGTGCTTGGTCGCCGCATCCTTGGCGACGACTGTTGAAATCCTCCCATCCAAAGCAGCCCATTGGATCACCTTCCAAACATCATCGAAGTCACTCTCAGCCAACAACGTGCTCATGTTCACATACACCGCGCAATCCACAAAGGAGAGGTGCTTCAACGGATCACGAGGCCTCTCCGAGGCCGGGGAATCCCAGCGCACAATCCACGACCTGGATCTGAACAACTTCTTCCTTCCACGGCGGTTAATGCGCAGCCCCTTCATCAAAAGATCCCATATCCCTTGCTTCGGCGGCTTCACAATCAGCTGATCCTTGATCACATCCTTATAATCAAGAAACACCGCCTTGTCAACCGCAGCACGAGCATCCAAAGCATTGCCACCCTTCACATAGTTCCGGAGGTAGGACCACCAGCTCGCCTTGAGCTGCGAGATGGCCTTCACGGAAGCTTGAGTGGCCTGCTCAAGCTGAGGGAGCTGTTGCTCCTCTAACTTCTGAATCAGTCTATGGGCCACTCCCTCGCTGACTTCCGGGCATCCGTTCCGGACCGTAAGAGGAATCACATCCCCAGTTGGCCCCACCAATTCACAAACATTGGCGTTCCAGCTCAGCCGGTAGCCGAGGGTGGCAATGACCTTGCCAAGGGGAACGATCACCTGGGCCATATCATCGGTGCTCAACAAAGTTCCGGACTCATTCTGTTTCATCAGCGCCACAGAATCCCCGGCGAGTTGTACTCCCACACTGCGAGCCTGATACCATTCACCCTGGTCACGAGGTTGCCGAAGTGCATGTGTGGCTCCTGAATCCAGCAGCGCTCGCCTTGGGGTCCGGTCCTCTACGGTAACTCCTAGCCTAGCCCACAACATCCCAAAGCGGCAAGCACCGGCTTGAACACCGAGATCTCCTGAAGGCCCTCCAAGACCTTCATCACCTTCGCCTGGATATCCCCCGTCTCGAAGTTCACCCTCCGTGAAGTTTCAGAGGTAGGCGTAGATGAAGAAGTGGCACCTGTGTCACTCGCACCAACTGAACCACCCTTTGGAGCACCCTTCGGAGTTGCAGCACCGCCACCCGGAGCACGGCATTCCTTGGCTTTGTGGCCCTGCGCCCCGCAGTTGAGGCACTTCTTCTGACGGCTAACCTTGTCCAAAAGGTTCCAAGTGTGAGGATACTTGCACTCACGACCTCGGCGGCATCCCTTGTCTGAGGCAAAGAACCGACATACATTGCTCGGTGGTCGTGGCGTTGAAGGTGTAGGTGGAGGTGGAGGTGACGTTGAGGTGGTTGGAGATGTTGTAGGCGCATCCTGAGTGGTACCCAAAGCCTTCAATGATGTAGCCTGATCACTAGCGGGTCGTGCTGCTCCAAGCCTCGCCTGCTGCTCCATCTCGGCCTGCAAGTGCTGGGTGAACGTAGTGATGCTCTGGGAGCTGGGGCAAACATCCAACTGCAAAGTGCTCCTGATCAAGCTGACCCGAAATGCCAGCTCCCCGCTCCCTCGGACCACAGGTCCAGTGATACGGTCTAAACCGCGCAGCAGGATTGAAGCATCTGGTTCAGCGATGCCCATTGTCGCGGCACGGCGACGCCAAAGGCTCCACTTACGAAGAGCCTCCACTGCAGCGAGGGCCGATTGGCACTCTTCAGGCTGCTCCAACATCCTCAACACCAGGCTCTTCTCTTGCAAGTTCCCGGGCTGATACACGGAGTAAAGCTTACACAGCAGTCCCAACGAAGTAACTTCCCCGCTGGCAATCACTTCATCCCTGACTTGCTTCGGCACCGCACTCAACATCATCGCAGTAGCCCGCCTTTCCACCCGTGCCCATTCCGCCTTCAACGGAGAAGTTGGCCGAGGGCGCAATTGAAGCCTGGCCAACGGAGTAGAGGAAGAAAACTGCTGGTACCAGCGAAGAACATCGGCCATTGTCGACTCCCACCAAGCCCCACTGGTATCTGAGAGGTCCTCCATCATCGGGCCGATGTGGGTGATCCAACTAAGGAGGTCGATACTGCCCGAACTAGGCTGGTACTCGGGGAGCAACGGCAACTCGCTGATGCCCGGTTTCACAGTTTCCGGTCGATCACCACGACCTGACTGACTCTGCTGCAGCAAAGCTTCAATGCCTTTCGCCAGTGTGAGAAGGACGCCGCCATCAGCATCACCAGCTGCACGTCCTGGATCTCCTGGCACTCGAGGTGGTTGTAGAGGTATGTGTGGTTGTGGTAGTTGAGGAGGTTGTAGGGGAAGTTGTGGTGGAGGTGGTACAACATGATCATCCGAATGTCGGCAACCAACGCTATCGCCATAGGGCTGAGGGCCTGAATCACGAAGACCACCACCCAAGCCGAAGAGACCCTGCAAAAACGAACGTGGTCCAGGTGACTGCGAACGAGGACGACTAGGCGGTCTATTGTCAACAAAGGAACCCAGAGGAGGTAGATCAGAGAGAACTTCAGGCTGGATTCCAGCACCTCGTACATTTCTATCCACCCCTGGTACCCCATCAAGACCCCGTAGGCGAGCATCATAACTCCCATCGTGTTCAGCTAGATCACGTGGTGGCTCGATTGCACGAGGAGGTAGAGCAATGCCAGTTGCTAAGCGCTGCTCTTGAGGGACCTGAGGAGGTAGATCGGCGAGAACTTCAGGTTGGATTCCCGCACCTTCTTCTCCTCCCTGGGGACGATCACGAAGAGGACGAAGTCGAGGAGCTTCTGCATACATGACTCTGCTCTCTTGTAGTTCAAGCTGACTTCTGAGCCTTCGAGCCTCATCACGAGCCTCCTCAGTTCGCCTCCTTTCCGTATTCAACCTCTGCAACACATCACCCATTGCCACTTCCAACTGTCTTGAAACCTCAGCTTGCACAGCTTCAGCAGAGACACCTCCGCTGCTGACCGAAGCATCTCTCGGCTCCTGTGGTGCAGTCTGCCTCACATTGGCAGAAGCGGAAGCCGAAGATCGAGGCCACTGCTGTTGCACTCCAGCGGATGCCTGTGACGCCGACCACGAAGTCACTTCCACGCGTCGCTGGATGTAGTCACCAAGCCTCGAGAACCAGCTGGGCCCACGCGCAGGCAGCGAACCTGCATCTGACAAAGGCGATTGTCCTGGTAAAGGCGAAGGAAGAAACTGAGGGAACAACGGTTCCCCACTTGCATTGTACATGACGGCCTCCCTGGGAGCCGTGCTGGGCGGCTCGGGAACAGGTAGCGTTATCGGAGGAGGAGATCTATCAATCATCATGAACGCATTCAAGTCCTCCTCTGCCGCCTGAAACCCGCCACCCCGAGTAGTAGTCGGCAAATGATCATCATTCATAGACCTCGGAGGTGGTCTTTCATCTGCCTGAGAGCCCCGTCGATCTGGAAGATTCGGGGGTGCCGGGGAACTTCCTGCAGGAACACCATTAGGAATCAGAGCTGAACCCCGTTGCCCATCTGCATCTCGGTTCATACGAGGATGTTCTGGATCATCGCGATGGTAATCGGGGCCTCTTTCCTCGCCCTCCAACACAGGAAGCGTTGGGCTCATACCCTGTTGATGCAAGGGTACTGCAGGCTCAGCTCTATCCCCAGCTGAATCATCCATGATCGCACAGCGAAGGCTCGCACTCGAATTGGTTTTTCGCGAACAAAGACCTGTTTGGTAAGCTGCAGTCTTCCTAAGCTTCGAAATGTCATGCTCTGCATGAAACTGTGCTATGAAGCGTGAATCTGCATGCTGTGGCACTCCGGCCACTGAAGTCCTTGGGCCCTCACGGCCATCTGTCATGCATGCGCTGTGCCTTCCACATGACATGTCACAGCACCTGGCGTGGGAGCTTTCAACACCTAAACCCTAAACCCTAAGCCCTAAACCCTAAGCCCTAAACCCTAAACTGCATGCATTCGGCTCCGCCTCCGTGAGCTTTTTCTGCAGCGGCCTTGCAACTTGGTAGTGAGTGCCGTAGCCTACAAAAAGGCTTACTGCCTCTGAGCCTGATGACTGAGGTCTCGCGCTATGTCGGTCTCGGGCTGAGGATCAAAATCATGTAAAGCTTCCAGCAATACTACCTATGAGGGTCCATATGGGTAGTCCTCTATAGAGTAGGGTCCCTGTCTGTGTAGGCCCCCATAACAGCACGGCACCCCTATTAAAAGGACCCTAGTTTGGAGAACATCTATTATGGCAAATCCTTAGCCCTGAAACGGGGTCCTGTATAGTATCTGCAGGCCAAGGGTATGCTCCTGCTGTTACTGTTGATGCTCCAAACAAGGTTGGACAGAATACCACTCATCCGCAAATCTTGAACACGTTGCAGACCTCCACATGCTTGATCCTGTGAGTAAGCGTGCTGGAAGATACATGAATATGGTGATAACTTGCCGTAGCCCTCTGGGAGGTTCGGGCTAGTTGTAGCGTACTGCGTCCTAGAGCCGAAGTCTGTTGACAAAAACCCTTAGATAACTTATAACTAGGGCCTAGGGGATCCACATCATTTTGGTTGTTTACGTACAAGTACAGTAGTAAGGTTCCCTCGACTCCGAACATCCACACTAGTTCAGCTACTGCCAACCCCACCTCGCCGCCACCTATCAACCTTCAAGTGGATGTTCGTACATGATGAAGAACCCCCTGCGTTCTCAAGGATTATAATGGACATCCTAAGATCTGCGCCCTTGAAGCAGGGGGTCTATTCATCAGGGTTCCACATGACGCTGAACCCCAAACCCTAAACTCCCGAACTCGAAGCCCTGCACCCCTGATCCCTAAACCCTAAACCCCAAACCCCTGAACCCCTAGACCCTAAAGTCCTAAACCCTGAAGAGGTTTGAGACAGGCTGCACCAATTCCTTCTCCTTCGCCTCTTTCGCTGGACGAAGCTTCTCGGCCTTGCCTTTCAGGCCCTGCGTGGCTGTGGGTGCATGGAGCAAAGACGAACCAGGGCTTGGCAAGGCATTAAAGGCTTAGAGAGCGACGAGGAAGTAGGGCTTAAGGTTGTAGGCTCGTGGGTTAGGATCAGGGTTTAGGGTAAGGGTTGGCGGGAAAGCTCTGCAGCCTTAGTCAGCAAGACAGCAGGCATAAGGCTTCGCGACAGACACGAACCACATGACAACAAATAGTTGAGGCTCCTTTGTTGCTGGACAGCTGCACATGTCACGCTGTCGAGATTCAGAGTGTGGGTTACAGGGTGTTGCGGGTGGTTCGAGTCTATATAGAGTTCAGGGAGGTGTGTAGGGCCTTTTTGGGTAAGTCTAAAGAAAAAAGGCTCAGCAACCTCAAATGAACCGTGCATTGATGCGTATAGCAGGTGCCGTTGATCCTTCAAAGTCGCTTCAGTTTGAACCCCAACAGTACCTGTAGCCGGAAAGACCTACCTTTTGAGGGCTCCTTATCATGATTTCTATAAATAGTTCCTCAAAAAGGTAGGTCTTTCCGGCTACAGGTATGCCCAAGATCCTGAAGGCAAGTTTTTTGACTTCAAGACAAGTTGAGCTCTGTGGCTGCGGCTTAAAGCGTGAACCTGAATCTGAAAACCCAAACCCCGAAAGCTTCAACCCTGACATCCAAACACCAAACCCGAAACCCCCAACCATTAGCCCAAACCCTAAATCCTAATCCTTTCGAAATCCGTATAACACTTCTAGAAACCCTCAGCCCCAAACCGTGAATCCTAAACTTTCAACTTGCAATTACATTTCTAACACTTACACATGCCCTTCCAAGCTTATAGAAACCATTCTAGCGCTTATGCTGGGCTTTTAAGTAACCGGGGAGAAGAAAGTATAAACTTTTCTTTCATAATGGTTCCATTAAGACAAAAAATATTAACGTATGGTACTCCAAAGCCCAGTATACCCATAGGCCCCAAAGTAGTTCCTTTTTGGGATGACCTCATAGAACTCTATATATGAACCACAAAAAGGAGCTACTTTGGGGCCTTTGGGTAGAAACCCCGAGCCCCAAACATGGGGGGCGCCTCATAGAGCTTCTCGAGCTTGCCTGCCTGCGTGGCGCGGAAACGCTCCTGGCCCTGAAGCTCCTGGAAGCTCCATGTGCAGTAGTGTCTTTAAAATAGGGTTCAGCGTTTTGGATTTAGGGGTTTAGGGTTTAGGGTCTGGGGATTTTGGGCTTAGATACTTAACATATGGGTGGTTGTCAAAATCATGGTCCCTTTTGGGTATTCTAAATATATGAGGTGCCATACTATATTAGGGATCCAACAGGGGACCATAATTTTGACAACTACCCATGTGCGTCTCTTTTCTGGGTTATTGTTAAGTTTTTCCTTTGATGTTCCAATTTGATCTGAAGCTCCTGAAGCTCCATGTGCTGTAGTGTCTTTAAAAATAGGGTTCAGCGTTTTGGATTTAGGGGTTTAGGGGTTTAGGGTTTAGGGGTTTAGGGTTTAGGGTCTGGGGTTTTTGAGCTTATAGTCTTTTCTCTGAGTTCTTGTTAAGGAACTTACAATACTTTAAGTTACCATTATTTAGGGAGAACGCATTTTTTGAGATGGGTTGATAGCTGTCAGGTTTAGCATTGTTGGCTTTTCCCTTCATAGGATTCATCATAGGATTGTGACAGGAGTTTGATTGTTTCTATCGGATCTTCGGCAGGACTTTCATCGGGTTGTTGTAAGTTTTCGGATTCGTAGGGTAGCTTCATACATTTGTACGGCTTGGGCCTTCTAATAGGGTTTCATAGGATTCTTGGGCTTTGATGGGCTTTGGCCCCTCCCGGTGTACGATTGCTATAAAGGCGCCTATCCTTTTCAATTGAAGCATGGTTTCAGCAAAACGTAAGGCCCAATTAAACTTCAACCTAAATCATACTGAAGCCTTAACCCACAGCTTAAACCCTAACTAGAATTCCAGTAACCCTGATTTTAAATGGTAAACTAAGTACCCGTCAACATCGTCAATAAGGTACACCGAAGTGCGCAGATAACTCCGCGTTCCCAATAACCCGTGCAACGAACGACTCGGTGATGGAATGTCGAGAGTTTGGGAGTTCGGAAGAGGGAAAATTTATTCCAAGATACCCTGACAGAGTAGCTAAAACCGAAATCAAACCTAAAACGGATATCTTACATCCTTCACCCTAAACTCTGAACCTTAAAACCTTAGCCTTAAATCCTTGACACCCAGAACAAGAAAGGCACTTCCCCGCGGAGTCTCCTGCTCGCGAGTGGGTGCCTCTTCCCTCAGCTTTTCGGCATCCTGTCGGGCAGCTAAGTGAGCATACAGGGTCTTGAGCTTTAAAGTCCGTGGCTCCCTAAACCCTAAACGCCCTAAGCCCCAACCCATTAAGCCGTAAACCTGTATAAACCTAAACCCTAGCCCTAACATCTAACACTTAGAGCGTACAACCCTAAACACCCCCATGTAGAGGCTCATGATTTCGAGGCTAGGGTTTCGAATGTTCTGCTTTCCGGTCTTTGGCTTCCAGGCCGAGTTTGAAACTTCGCTCCGATTGTGGCGAAATCAGAAATGAGAATCACGCGGCGTGGCAAGATAAGCAGGGCTGTGGGTATTCCGATGTGGTTCTTCTACTTAAAGCCCAGCAATCAGTCGGCTTACCCCTTGCACCCGAAGTCTTACAAAACCCTGTCGACGCCCCATAGAGACTGATGAAATCCTACAGCCAGCTCCGCTGAGAGAATCCTGGGCGCCCAAGGCTAGAAGCCCAAAAAATTGGAAACCCCATGGCTTCAGTCCCTAAGAGCAATGTATGGGAGTCCCAGCACTATTTGTCCTTAATCTGGTTTCCAACTTTTTGCTTTTACGATGGATAAGCGCAGGACCGCGAAGAGCTTGCTTGGAGTTTCCACAAGGCTGACATCTCTGCGGACTTTGCGGATCAGTCGACTGAAGCCTTCGAACCCGTAACCCGAAACCCTTCAACCCAAACGCAATCTTAACTTAATACGGGGGCCTCAATGCCTGACTGCTTATTATATAAACCATGCCAAAGCCCAGAAAACCTTGCAAGGAGAGCATGATATTTTTTCTCGCGCAGGTTTGGTCTTAATCACAATAGACGGATTCCAGATCAAGCGATATCCTGACCCTTTGGGTGATCCCCAAAGGGTCCTAATAAGTACCTACCTCGCAGGGTGTTAAGAACATTGCAATAGGAGTACAACTGAATACATAACATTATGGTGTGTGTAGGTATCCCACATACCTAGACCCTCCATCTACCCTCTAGTCGCCCCTGAAAGCCGAGTATTTGGGACCACATACGCTGGTTTGACGGCACTACGAGGGTCTTGGTAGGTACTCCGGAACCTTTGGGTGATCTGCAGGATTGAGGCAGGGCCAGAGCCAATCACTCCGCCCGTGAGGCAAAAGCTCTCCAACTCCAGGCACGAACCGACACCCTGGAACCTCTGCAGAAGAAAGCAGGGCTTTGGGCTGAGGAAACACAGCTTTTAAGAGTCAACAGATTCGAAGAAAATCAATTCTTTGAGAGTCTTGTGATTGTAACCATAACGTATGTATGTATGTATGTACAGATAAGTTTGTCGAGCTGCAGCTACCTGGCTAGTCAAAGCCCGAGGCTCCCGACTCAGAGTCTCACCCGTGACTACCGATGACCACACCTGAATCCGCATAAGACCCTGCGTAAAACCCCCAAGACCTACGCTTTTCAGGACGTATATAAAGAAAACATAGTAAGACACCTTAACAAGGAAAGTTTTGAGGGGGGGGATAACGCGAACCTCAGTCGCTGAAGTGCGACCTCAGAGACCTTGTGATTGGCAGCCCCCTTCCAACAAAGGAGGCAGCACGTCTCGAGGCCCTCAAATGCTCTGACCAACACGGTTTAGGGTTTGGTGTTTATGGTGTAGGGATCACCTTAGCTCCAAACCCAGCTAATCCGCGACACATAAATCCTGAACCTAAACCGGGTGTGCACAGTTGACTCAGCCTATGTGTCACACGGCCACGTTCGATGTGGGCTGAGTATACAATAGTTGTGACCACAACTGTCGAACTCATAGGCCTACTTCTGCCTACCGATGAAACCTTTACGTAGGGCTTAAGATCGCAAACACAGCTTCTGGCGATTTGTGCCCCCGGAACTGTATGCGAAACCCAGTTAAAGGTCCTTCTAAGTTCGGGTCTAATTAATCGGGACGTATGAACAGTCGCTGCTGGGTCTGCTAGGTTTTTCTGTGGCCCGAACTTCCCACCTAAATTTTCAGAGCCCCAATACAGCCCTCACGGGAACCCGTGAGCGGTATGTGTGTATTAGTTCTATTTGGTGGGCTTTTTGATTCCGGGTGCAGTGTGGACTTGGGCTCGTTAAAGGGCTTCGGAAGGGGATGACTGACGAGTTTGGAATAGAAAGGTATCCGTGCAATCTGTGCCAGCAAGAAGACACGCACAGTCGAAGGTCTATCTGTACTCCTAGAAGTATAGTTAGATTTCAATTGTGCCAAAGCTACGGTATTCAGTTGTTCCCGAGCCCTGCAAGCAAACCGCAACTGCAAAAATGTCTGTGTGTGTGGGCGTGTATATACATACATCTATGTACATAAATATAAATATATAAATATATAAATATATAAATATATAAATATATAAATATATAAATATATAAATATATAAATATAAATATATAAATATATATAAATATATATATATATATATATATATATATAAATATATATATATATATATATATATATATATATATATATGCGCACATGCAAAAACCGGCATAAACCCATAGCTTGCAACGGAGATGCCTCGAAACGAGGCACGGAGCCAGGAAGATGCCCAAAAACAAAGTGCTAGCACATCTCCAGTCAGTGGCGTCCGGGGCCCAGGAAGCCCCGATTCCGACACACGCTGAAGTTGAAGGGTTTGGGTTTAGAGTTTAGGGGTTTAGGGGTTTAGGGTAAACACATGATATCGATGACCAGCCTCAAACCCTAAGCTAGGCATGACTTGCATCAAAACCATTGCAACATCTTACAACTTGAGCTTAAGGAGGATTCCTCTGGAGGAATCCCCTCTATCTCTTTGCCTCAGACCGTGCGCCGGTCACAGATCACATCCGCTGCTGGCCGGGAGTGACGAGGCTTGCGCGAGCCTGGAGTGGAGAGGGTCTTGGGTAGAGGGAAGGCAGCTCCGTTCAAACCCTAAACCGCCAACACCCCAAAAAAGCTATGCCCCAAACCCTTATAACCCTAAACCCGGAAGCCCTTTCAAGACTCCCACATCTTCGATGCTCCGAACGGTCCACCAAGCTTGACTCTTGATTCTACCCTGCAGGAAAAGCCTTTTTCACATCGCAGCCATAACCCATATGATGTTAACAGAGTTCCGGGGTATAGTATATTCATATGCTGCTCAAGCGTCTACAGGATTCGTTGTTTATGCGTAGGAATATCAGGCCCCTCTTGAGAGTTTAGGGCTTGTCTAGTATGAACTTCGAGCGTATAGTAGAGGGTAACTGGGGGATCAAAACTGGAAAGAAGACTTCTGAACGAACACGAAATCTAAAACCCTAACCTAAATCACACACAGCAAAACTCCAATACACACGCCCGAGCTAGACAAAACACTCAACGTCGCCAAATATCTGCATGTACGCCGCCAGCCCAAACTCCAATACAAAATGCCCAAACCTCCAAAATAAGGAACTGAACTACCCTCCGAGTCCCTTTAGGACGAATTCTCCCTCCCTGTGGTTTAAGGTTTAGGAGTTTAGGGTTAATAGGGTTTAATTCATCATAGAAACCATATAAGTCATAATATGACGATGTATCTCCAAGTTTGGCAACTTGTCGGGACCTTTGGCCAACAACACACATTCAAGCACGGTGCGCATCCTGAACCCACAGACAGCCCTAAAGGCCTGAAGCTCCAAGAATCTCCCTCAACCCTAAACCCTTGCAGAACTCTGAAACCTTGCAAAACTAGACCCCAACCCCGCAGCCTCAAACCCGTCTTAACCTATTCATATTCAGGACCCGATAATTAGGTAACCCCAAAACAAGAACTAGACAATGGAGGCTTTAGGTATAATCCTAAACCCTCACATGCTTGGGGCTCCAAAAAGCCTAAAGTAGCTAATATTCATAGACTCTAGACCCAAAGTAGGTACTAGCTGTACACTTGGAGCCCTAGGGTATCAGCCTGGGAAGGCTCTTTCTTGCACACGGCGCAGCCGCAAAGGCCGAGACCAATGCGGCGCGTGGGCGGCAACTGGCCGCGGACGACTACACAGCCGGCCTTCCCGCTTTTTGGTATCGTTTAATTTAAGGGCGGGATAGAATTCAAGAATTCGGGAGGATCAGCTGAAGTTGGGGTTTTCGAGCTTCGGTTTTAAGAGCTTCGGGCATATATGGCTTCAGGTGTATAGGGAGTTGCGGGTTTCGGATCAGGGGGGTCAGGGAGTGCAGGATTTGGCTTCGAGTGTTATGCTCTGGGTTTCGTGGAGTTTGCTTCACTTACAGGACCGAATACCTGAAGGGTTGAACCCTAAGAGGCCCTTAATAAGCTTCTGCAGAGGGACCGGGATGTGCTGCCGTCTAAAAATGTCGGCCTCTGACGTCTCGAACCTGGGTCAACTTCGAGCACCTGACATGGGGACCTTCACAATTAGAATGGGGTTTTGGGGTGAATTTTAGAAGTCTGAATAGTTTTTGGACCTTGGAACCCTTATGTTTGGGTACTTGGACCCTCTGGGTACAGTAGGTTTAACGAGCACGGCTGAAAATCTTCAGACGCTCACCTGGTGACTTCTGAAAAGTTCAGTCCTAAACCCCAAACCAGGAAACCTGAAATCCGAATTCAAAACCCTGAATACACAAAACCAATAAACCCTCGAACCGCGAGCATTATATAAGCCCGTGAAGCCCTAAACCAAAATCTAAACCTTACCCCCTGACACGAAAACCCTAAACCCCTAAACCCTAAACCGCTAAAGCCCTAAACCCTAGTACCTGCCTTCCCGTAGTGGTGCCAGATGCCCTCTTCACTCCAGCACGGCGCTCGGGTGTGTTTCTCCTGCAGGAAGCTTCCGTGTAAGAGCTTCGGGAGTTAAGGGTTATTAGAAGAATTACTATGAGCTGTACGATAAGGGTTACTGCAAGAAGAGCTTCTTGATGCGGGTAGCGATAGCTTTGGCGTCGGCTGTTGGTTCATTTGGAGAAACCCAACACTCCCTCGTTCAATAGTGCATTCAGCCTTCAAGCAGCCTGGCTTCCCCTGACACACCCTAAACCCCTAAACCCATGCCTAAACACTCAACCCTTCAACCATTGCTTATAACCCTCATCCCCTCAACCCTAAACCCTGAACCGGCCTAAACCCCGAAAGCGCGGCCTCCAAGCAGAAGATCTTCGAGTTGCTGAAGCAGTAGGGCATCGGAGGACCGCATGCCCATCCCGCGAAGAGCAGGTAACAGCACCAGTTGGCATCTTGCCTCAATGCCAAGTCTGCTTGGAGAGTCGGGGGACTTAGTAAGTAGATTATAAGTAGACTTATATGTACCCTAAGAGGGACCCTATGTGGGGTTATGGTACTTATAAGTCCTCAAAATACATACTTACTAAGTCCCCCGACCCTCCAAGTGCGGTCTAGGGACCAGGAGTCTCAGGTTGAGGAGTTTAGATGCTTCACCCAAAGGGTCCTATGTACCGATATAGTAGAATGTAGGGCTTCCGTATTAGGAATTATTATTATGACTTAGGGAAGTATCCCCCATAACAGTACATAGGACCCTTTGGGTCAGCTCAAGTTCAAACAACCAGCTGACATCCGCCGCTTGGAACTTAATTCCCTCTGAACGATGCGAGAATGGTGGTGCAGCTTGATAATTTGGCTCAACATAACACTGAATGTAGCAGAAGTCACACAACAAGCAAGAAGTTGCTGCGTGTGCAAGTCCGATCGATTCCGAAGTTGGGGAGAACGAGCTCGTAGGTGGAAAAGGCTCGGGCAAACATCTTCTCACAACCCTGAACCTTCAATCCTAAAACCTATAACGCTAATCCCTAAACCTTAAAAATTTACAACCGAAGCCCTACAACCTACAACTTATAACCCTAACACCTACAACCGAAACCCTAAACCCTAAAAAATGTAACCCTGAGACCCTAAAAGCGGCGAAGAGAAGAAGTTGCAACCGGTGCTCGTTTACAGGCCGCTGCTCCCACCTCTCCACAAAGGCTAAAAGGCCGATTCAAGCTTCAGGGTTCGGAGTCAGTGTAGGGTTTATTAAATATAGTCCCCAAAAACCCTCCCAATCCAAGCAAACACCTGCCCCAAACAAGACACTAAAGACATGCATACAGACATGATTACTTGGAGGATCATGGGACTTAGTAAGTAGGGTTATAAGTACCCTAATTGGGGTTGTAAGTCATTATAAGTATAGTTACCCTAATTATAACCCTACTGTAGTTACTAAGTCCCACGACCCTTTAAGTAGGCAGGGCACATGAACGCTGCCTCACCATCTTCTACCGGTCGTCCCTCGCCACCTGCGCTGCTCTGGGCTGCCGTGTTAAGGCTTCCTTTGAGTTTCCTTGTAGGGGCTCCTTGTATAGGGTGCCTTGCAGGGTTGCACAGGGCTCATGGGGTGTTATGTACGAAGTCTACATGGGAGTTTCCAAGAATCGGGGGCCCTAACAAAGTAATTACCCTGAATACTAGGATCTTTACTATAAGGACCCCAAAATAAGGTACCCCTTCGGAGACTCCCACATGGGCTTTAAATATGTTAAGGTTTATGGAGCCTATCACGGCTCTTTTGTTGGTTACAGTAACATCTCTGCTGCGGACTGAAATTGAAACCTTCAAGCCGGAAGAGTTCACAACGCATCGCGAAGGAGCGTCTGCAAACCCAAGACGAACACATGCCACTCTTCGTTGTTCTTCCACGGCACCGTAGGGTCGCCCCATGAAAAAGGTGTTGCAGCAGCCCAGCGCCATGTTGTTGGTGGAGCATGCGTGAATCCTTCGTGGCCGTGACCCACTAAGGAGGTAACTCTAAGACCCACCGATGGAACCCGAAGCCCTATTGCTTTCAGGGGTTTTCATATGAAGGCCCGATATATAATTTGAAAAGAACCTCTAGAAGACCGAAAGGGGTTTCTAGCAAAGCACTCTGAAGTCAAAGGTGCACAAGTATATAGATACACGGCGACTTCGAGTCTTGGAAATTGCCGTGCTTCCATCCCGTGAAAATCCATGTAGTAGCAGCCAGGTACATACAAAACACAGTGCAGTAGCCTGAATCATTGGCAGAGTTTCTTCCGTGTGGTTCTGCAGTAAAGTGTTCAGTAAAGTGTTGCCCCGTCGCTACCCAAAAAGCAACAACTCGTCCAAACATGTATTTGAGACTTATGATTTAGAAGCTGCCCCCCCCGTGTAATAGTGACTATAAGGATTATATTAGGGCCCTAGGCTGAACACTTGCGGAGGCACAGAAACAAATGAGTTTACCGTTCCCTGAACCTCTGACAGATTTAGGGTGGGGGTGTCGCAAGGGCTTGGAAAGATTCGGGCTTCATGGGGGGTTCTCCAAACCAGGAGCCAAAACACTAAAGCCTGGACCCCACCCCAAACCTTACTCCCCTCAGTAGCGCCTACCAGCGTGAGATGCTGCAAGCATGTGCAAACAGAAGCCGAAGCCCTCGCAAGTTACGTCGGATTCGCTGCTACGACACCGAAGATGACGATGGCGATGATGGCGAGGAAGAAGACGATGATGATGATGATGATGCCGCTGGCCATGATGACCTGATGATGATGATGGTGATGATGATAATGCGGGTGGCGATTATGACGCAGAACAAGTACACGAATTTTGCTGAGGATGATTGTCGTCGAGGTGAAAGAAGATCATGACGGTGATCGTGGTGGTGATGACGTTTCAAGGTGGAAGGCAGTAGGGGAAGCGGCACGGCTGAACCCTGGGCTGAGGCAGCCTTCCCTAAATTCACACCGAGGGTCCAGCAGCAAGTCTTTCCGAAGCCTGTCCAACAGCCCTTCTCGCCAATGCAGTCCTCTCCGGACGTGGTTCCTCCTGCGCAGTTTTGGGCCAGAGGTGGGTGGTTCAGAGTTTAGGGGTTCAGGCATCATTCATGGTGGACAGGCTTTTCGCAGTTAGTGGGCAGGATCCGAGGGCCCTTGTTCCTCAGTATATCATACTGAAATACATGCAGTGCAACCAAAAAACAACACACAACATGCGATACAAAATAGCATCTCATTGAAGGGGAGTCAAAGATGCGGGCAGACGAATTGGTTCCACTGGGGAAATCAACCCTAGACCACATCACATCAGGCACGGCTGATGGACACTATCCTAAGCCCTAAACCTGCCCTGGACTAGCCTAAGCCATGGGACCTGTGGTCTGGTCTCTACCTGGAGGCTCGAGCTTCGTAGGTAGTTACAGTAGAAGCTGGAAACCCCACAGCCTCAATCCGAAAGAGCAACGTAAGGGAATCCCAGCTCTATTTGGCCTTAATCTGGTGTCCGTCTTTGTGGGGTGTACTGTGTTTTATAGACTTGTAAGTATCATAAACCTAATTAGGACCCCTCTCGATTTTAGGGTACTTGTAAGTGACAAGTCTACTTATTACCTACTTGCTAAGTCCCCCGACCCTCCAGGTCGTATGGCAGTACGGACTACCGTCCAGCACACCCTGAGTCAGTGGCATGAGGGCTCTAGTCAAGAGTACTTTGGAGGATCGGAACGGCTTGCGGGCCTACCATACCTAAAATACGGTAGACACACACACACATGTAAAGTTTAGGGTTTAGGGTTTGTTCGCTTACAAGGACCTAGCAGTAGCAGCAAAGTCCAAGGAGGTGCTACTACCCGTACTTGCATTCCAAAGGGTGGGGGGTCTCAACTGAGCCAAACAGAAAGGTTACCGGTTAGCAACTGTCGGCGAACCTATCAGAAAAAGTGAAGGTCCTGAACCCCCATAAGGCGCTTATGGCTCAGGCTTTAGAGCTTTTCGTGTTGTAAAGTTCAGCCTTCATGGTTAAGTATGCCGGATGAGTGGCTTCTGGGTTCAAGTTGACGTTTTGGGGTTGAGGGTTTGTCCAACCGGCCTGCGCAGCAACACAACTTGTGCTTATCCATACCTGAGATCATGCGAAAAGCTGTTGAACATCGTGAGGGTCGCTAGGACATGGCGTGGGAACCAATTGCCAATAGTGTCTGGTTCTGAGTAGGGAATGGGGGAATAGATCCCTATGATCGTCCCGTAAGGTCCCCTATAGTAGTCCCAATAACCCATTCCCCCATTACTAAGAACCAGACAGAATAGGCGGAGTCGAAGGGATTTGTCTTCCTATTCCCACTGCTTCGGGAATCGCATGCGCTGCAGAATGCCAGTGTTTGGCTGCTCTGATGCAAACAATAAGGGTCTGCGCCGTAAATTTGAAAAATGGTCCTCATAAGTTTCGGCTCTAGTCCCAGATTGCGGTGGGGGGGGGGGCGATTCAGGTTTACTTTCAGTTTCATGGTTACGTACAAGTACAGTTTAGAGTCCATAGGGACATCTATAGATAAAGTTGCTTCTGACAAAACTGACGCATGCCGCTAGCATGGTGAAGCAGCATGCAATGTGCAAACTACTGCGATAGTGTTGTGCACTGGTTTTGCTTCAAGGGCAGCCATGTTAGTTAATTAATGGGGTCTCAATTGAAAGATTCCCAACGAGTTCGCGCCAAGATACAGCAAGGATCACTGCATGCTGTGCAGGAGATGCCGACACAGCAGCAGCTCAGAAGGTGGCAGGAGTTCTGCTCAATCTGGCGTGGTCCCCAGGTCAGGGGATTCCGGGTATTTGTTGGTGCCGCTCGTTGCCGGTGAAGAAGCCTGCTCTTTTACGATCGCACACCGGCGCAAACTTCTGTGGCAATAGTTGGCAAGGCCACATGTATCTCCGACTAGAAACGTGGGGTCCAAGTAAAAGATCCGAAACCAAGCTACCCTAACCACGACATGCTATGACAGCTACATTATGGCTTGCCGATTTCGGTAACTTAAACGAAGCTCTCCCACCAACCAAAAGACCCCGACCGCCGTTTTAAATGCCTATAACCACAACGTAAATAATGCTGTTCAACCGTATAAACCCCCAGTCGATCGTTCCTTGTACAACCGTTTTCAACCACGTAAGCGGCCACGCAATCCCTATAAACACCTACAGTACTTGGAGAATCATGAGACTTAGTAAGTAAGGTTATATATAAATACCCTAACTGGGGCTATAAGTAAATAAGTATAGTTACCCTAATTATAACGCTAGTTACTAAGTCCCCTGACCACTAAGTAACCCCATGATAAGCCCCAGGCCTCGGCAAACTGAGCTTCGAAAGCCATGGCGCCAAAGAACACTCGCCAAGTGCGAGCAGAAAAGGCCGGGCTTGAGCCGAAGAAGTGCAGAGAGGTCTGCTGGTTTCTTGTGAAGGGATTTCTGTCTGGTTTCTTGTGAAGGGATTTCTGTCTGGTTTCTTGTGAAGGGATTTGATTTAAGTTGCCATAGTTATTTTGCTCTAGAGCCCTATTATGGTAACTTAAACTAAACTCCTTAACAAGAGCCCAGTTGTAGGACTTAGAGTTTAAAGTTTGTAATTCTAGAACCTTGGAGGAAGGGTGAGCCGAATTTCAGAGGATTCGGGGCTCTTTGAAAGATTCGGCAAGTAAGGGTATTGTAGGACTTCTGGCAGTTTATGGCTTGAGAGTCTAGGGTTTAAGGTTTGGGAGGTACGGGTTACGTGTTAGGGGTCTAGTTGTGAAGTCGGAAATGCGAGCCAAGTGTGGGTAGTGGCGAGGAAACGCGGGCCAGGTGTGGGTAGCGGCAAGGGCGGTGACACAGGGGCGGTGGTAGTCTACCCCGCCCACCCAGAAAACCATTACTACTTTCCTTTATAGCCCCAGTACCAAAGCATTGGGTCCCTTGAACGTTCGAGGCATCGATTTACGGAGGCCTCTGGCGTCTTTGGGGATGATTTCTTTGCTCTAAACCCTCAGCCCCCAGATTCTGAAATTAATAATTGCAGACTTTAGGCGTCGGGATCATTGATCAGTCTAAGTTTGCTCACATTCGTTGTGTTGGGGGGGGGCCTTCATACTTGATGAGGGTTCCATAATATGCGGGGTCTGTGTCGTATGCTAAAACTCTCACATCCAGAGAAGCCCAAAAGCTTAAATCCTAAATGCGGCGCTATGCTTCCGGATGCCTTCACGAGCTGCTTGGCACGCTCCTCCTCTTGCTCTCGCACCTCCGATTCTTTGCTGCATCCAGGGTACTACTCTATGCCCTAAGGGCTGTGTAAGAGTTGTACAAGGCTTCTATAAGGGCGAAGGTTTCTATAGGGTTGATAACTTATACAGGTTGCCATTGGTCTAAAGTTCTGCGTATAGCATAGCAGCAGTATGAAGTGGTTAGCGTTGTTTACTTTTTTGAGGGATCTGCTTACTGGGTAAGTGGACCCGCGGGAACTGTACGAACGTAGATGACAAAGACGCCTATAGCATTACTGAAGATCATGGCACTAAAGTACGCCCGTACCCACATGGAGAATCACTGAGAATGCATGCACACATGGCATTTAGACCTAGATTCCAAGAAAAACCTTAAAACCCTAATCCGCCATGCCCGGAACCTTTGCACCCCAAATCCCAAACCCCAAAATCCCACAAAACCTAGTCAGAACCCTTGCTGAACCATTAAGAGATAGGTTAAATACACCCCAAACTCAGATCCGTCGGAATTCTGGGACCTGAGAAGCCGCCTTGATAGGAAGGTGGGACCCTAAAAATAGAAAGGGTAAAAATTTCAAAAGGGTACGGCTCAGGAACTTAGTCTGGGACCTGAGAGAGCTTTTGGAGCTTCTGCTCCTGGAAAGCGACGTCTTCGGTGTACTTCACGTCCTGGCATTGTGTTAGCAGGAATTGGGCTTTGATGAGGGCTTTTTGAGGTTTTGTATCGTTTTGCAGAAGGTCATAGGGTCCTAGTCTAGAAGCAGTTCCTAATACTCCGAAACAGCTTCAAGATTTGGAGTCTTCGGCATTGGCTTGCTTTAGAGTTTCCGGATCTGCAAAACTTGCCTTCCAAATAGTATGTGTCATTTTACCTGCCATGGCCTCGCAAGGCTTGGTCTTGCGCTTGGGGCTTGGGTGTGGCTGCCGCTTGATGCAAAAGGCATTTTCAACGAGCTCCAAAGCAAGAAGTGAAGCAAATGCCCCTGAACTCAAACTAACCACTGAACAGAAGCAACCCGAAAACCACCACAGTAGCAGGAGACCACTGACGTTAATCTCTAGAACCTCCGAAACGTAGACACAGCCCTGGAGATCTGACGCAAATAGAACAACCGGTGTCATCTTTTGACCTTTGGGTAAGTTTTTTCGGTTTGAAGAGACAAGAGCAAAAGCAGATGAACCCAAACCGAACAACAATGCCCCTCTCCAAAACAACCGCTGCCACCAGTCTTCAGTGCCCTGAGACTCCCGAAGTTTTACCCAGCCCAGTGGGGCGTCCTGTCGTTCGAACTCCTTGAACTCCTCGGCTTTCTTCTCCATCTTCTCTTTGATCTTGTTGTACTCCTGGGAAGGGCTTTTGTAGCTTCAAGCCTTTTTGGGCAGAAAGGTGTTGGGCTTCGGGATTGCTTCTCTTTTGCTCTTGTTGTACTCCTGGGAAGGATTTGTGTAGCTTCAGGGCGTTTCAAGGCTATGAGGCTTGCTTCTCTTTGGTCTTGTTATATTCCTGGGAAGGGCTTTTGTAGCTTCATGCCCTTTTTGGCACAAAGGTGTTGGGCTTCGGGGTTGTTTCTCTTTGCTCTTATTGTACTCCTAGGAAGGATTTGTGTAGCTTCAGGGCGTTTCAAGGCTATGAGGCTTGCTTCTCTTTGGTTTTGTTATATTCCTGGGAAGGGCTTTTGTAGCTTCATGCCCTTTTTGGCACAAAGGTGTTGGGCTTCGGGGTTGTTTCTCTTTGCTCTTATTGTACTCCTAGGAAGGATTTGTGTAGCTTTAGGGCTTTTCAAAGCTATGAGGCTTGTTTCTCTTTGGTCTTGTTGTATTCCTGGGAAGGAATTTGCAGCTTCAGGGCTTTTCAGGGCTATGAGGTTTTGGGATTAGGGATTGTTTCTTTTTGATCTTGTTGTGCAACAGGGACGGGTTTAGAGCTTCGGGGCTTTTGGGGTTCCGAGCTTTCTAAGTCTAGGAGGCGTAGGGCGTAGGGATTAGGGTCTAGGGTGTGGGTGCTACGGCATGGATTCGTTTCTCCATGATTCATTCATCTCTCTGTACTCTTTGCGGCTGCAGGGGGAAAATAGCTCGCTGGGCAGTGTCTCAGTTTCGGGAGTAGGTGCAATTTGTTGCACTGAAGGACCGCATTGCCGTAGGCGTACACGTGACAGATGCTGCAAATGCTGCCTTACTAGAAATATTAGAATCTCGGAATTCTCTGCCTCGCTTACAACACCGGACCGCAAGTCTGACATTAGAAACCAACTCACAAGACACCACAACCCTTAATGGGCTTAGGGTCTAGGTTTGCACTCAAGTAAGGGCTAAGGGCTCGGGGGCTAAGGACAATCCCTACTTCTCTTCACTAAGGCAACCAAACACCAGAACCTCCTGCACTTTGAAATCCTTGAGACCCAAACCCCAGGCCAAGCCCCACACCTTTCAACCTACCTCGGTTCCCCAGGAGCCCCATAACAATAAGAGTACCCTTTTTCCTACTGTTTGTGTTTTGTAAGGCTTTAAGGGCACCCCGAAAAGAAAAATGGTATATACAAGGGTACTACTGGGGAACCGAACTGCACCCCGAAGCCTTCTAATTGAGTCTTCAATCCGACCCCTGAAGCCCAGCCCTTCCTTGAGGTGAGAGTTGTGCTCATCCTCTATCGCTTTCACTTCTTTCCTCACAAAGGCTGTACAGTTCAGGGTTGATAATTTGGAGTCGAGGGTTCAAGGCTTAAGGTTTAGGGTCTAAAGGGTTTAGGGGTTGGAGAGGTTTACTTGGCTGAGATGAAGACCCTTAGCGGTGCTAAGATCTTGCTGTCAACTTCTGAACAGAGCAATGTCGAGTTCTCACCTACTACCGAAATGGAACAGTGGGGTTTGGAGCTTACGTGTTCCACTTCCAGGGTTCAGGGTTGAGAGGTCAAGATGTCTCTGGAACGGAGGATCTGTTGCGGCCTGAACACGCATCCTGAAGCAGGCAATCAACCAAACCGCTCGCGGTGCCCACAACCCTACACCCCACAGAAAGCGAAACAGCCCTTAGCACTGAATCCCATAAACCCTGAAATCCCCCGACCGCCTACTCTGTCCCTCAGACCCTGAACCCCTGACCCGTCCAAAACAATAAGTAGTACGTAGCAACACCTACGAACAAACCGTGAGCTGCGTCGAGCTGCTCGAACCCTTCCATCTTCTTCTTGTGCTCCTTCATTTGGCCCTGGAGTACCTGGACGGTTTAGGGTTTAGGGTTTAATTAAGGTTCTTTAAAGGCCTGTTTGGGGTCTAGGGCCGAAGATCTATAGGGCTTTTGGGGGTTTAGAGATTAAGTCGGCTTGAGGCTTCAGGTCTACTAAGGGGTTTAAGACTTTTAGGTTTCAAGGCTGCAACTACTTCCTAGGTTGAGGGCCTGCTGTGGTGTATTGTTATGCTGAGGGTCCATGTACACCTGGCTGAATTCTGAACCCCTCCTAAATGTAAAACTTTTAGCCTCCTTACTACGCCTTATATAGACCCCCCAAAATGCTAAAGTCCTAAGAGCCAACCAGAAGAACGCCAAGTACAAATCCGAGTTGTCCTTTAAGCCCTTTGATTTTGTTTACTATTATGGTTCTCTACAAGATAGTAGGGGAAATTAAAAGAGATCCTAAAGGACAACCCAGAAATATAGGGTGGGATCGCCTTGTGTTCTTCCTCGAGACTGCCGAGCTTCGTCTGGCTGTCGCGGACCTGGGGCAAACGGAAGGGACGCAGCTCTTGAAGTTGGAAAGGGCTTTATACGGCTTTTGGAAGCTTTTATCCGGCTTGTGGAAGAAAAACACTTTGTAGGGCTGTGAAGTGTATTATAGGGCTTCTATTTTTTGGTTTGTCTAGATGTTTTTTGTCGCGGTCTTGTGCGGCTTCAGTCAGCTCTGAAGGCTTTGTGAGGTTCGGGCTTGGGGTTTAAACTTGGGCTTTGAGGGCTGCAGGATAGAGTTTATGCAGGCTAGCCCAGAGAGCCCAAGAATTTAGCTTAAGTCAAAATATGAAAGAAATAGTTGAGGCCATATTCCTTAACCCCCAAAAATTTAAACCATACTCCTTAATTAAGGGGTATTGGGCTCTCTGGGAGGTTGGCTTGAGTAAGA